ATCGCCGAGGATAATGCGGTGGCCGCTCTTGAGGAGCCGTGGCTTATCAATACGAACGCCATTGACCATGACACTTGCACCCTCTTGGGGAATCACAGTCACCTTGCCATCCACGTTCTCAAAGTTGCAATGTTCTGCGAGAATTTGCGAACCGTTCAGGCGTATCTGTGCAGTCTGACCATCGACATCCGAATTTCCTACGGTTGTAGTACCCGGCTTCAAATTGTAGACGAGACATTCGGTCAAGAGCGGATCATCGCTCAAGTTTACCAAATGCGGCATATTCTTGGGTGTTGACAGACCCACGAAACCCTTTTCAATGCTGATGCCAAGCTCTTCCAGTGCAGCTTCTCTTTCTTTGTGGATTTCTTCCGTCTTTTGCAGCTTCTCTTCCCAGGTTTGGTTGAGTTCTGTGTAGAGCTTCTCCGATTGAGTCAACTGTTCCGCAATCTCGGCCTTGGAGACCTTTTTGGTCGAGCCGTCTGCCTGTGTGATGGAAACCATTTGCTTTTCTAGCGGTGTGTCTGGTGGGTACTGTTCTTCCACGATACCATTCGAGCCTGCCGCTCCGCCACCGCCTCCACCACCTCCGCCTAATTGGGAGCGCAGCTTGGAAAGCTCTTCTTTGAGCTCTCTGATCATGCGCGCGTTGGGATCTTCGTTTACAACGGCATGGTTCTTGATGCGCTTGGCGGAGTCGGCGTATCGAAGGGTCGAGAGTGTTTCCTCAAAGTTGATATCTGCAGGAGAAATTGCAGCAATCATGGCAGTCATGCTGTTTCCTCCTAACGAATCTTTCAACAGCCACGTCAGGATGGAATCTCGGTACGGAACCTGTGCTTTCTTTTTCCCAGACGACTGGTCTGCAAGCGCCGCGATCACGCGACCCAGTGTAGACAGAGATCGATTGATTTCCGCACCCTCTTTCAATCGCGCACCAGTTGCACCAGTGGATTGCGCTCTTTCTGATCCTGCCAAGTCTACCAAACTAATCTTTGCAACTCTTTCTCCGCTCATGCTCGTTTCAACATCGTGGCGTTTCTGGGTAAGGGTAAGGGTGAATACGGCGTGCGATCGCGAAGACGTCTCGTTCATGTTGGTCGCTGCCACTGTACGGGCCTTGTTTCCCTCGTCCATCAAGTTCTCAATCTCCGAGAAGGACTGAACCACCAGCTTGGCCAGGTCTTCGACATAGGGACCGGTAGACGGATGCTCTCGGACTCGCAGGTTGCCCTTGTTTGAGGGATTAAGCAGATCGCGTACGCGCTCATTATAGATTTCAAGATATGAGACCTCGACGGTGCAGGTCGAGTTCTTGTCCTGTTGCATGCCTTTTATTCGCTCAAACATGTCCTGGCAAATCTTGGGGATGATTCCGTATTCTGCGCCATAACCCATCATCGAGTACGACTTTCCGGAACCTGTCTGACCATATGCGAAAATGCAGTTGTTGTAGCCCTGAAAGGCATTGTCGAGTAGCGGCTTGCCGAGGTCTTCGTGGAGGTTGTCCTGGCCGGCATAGTTTGGGGCATCGCGGTCGAAGGACCAGTAGGAGCGATCGAAGGCGAAGGTCTTTACGCCCTCGGCAGCGGCTTTGGCGGCCTTTCCCTTGACGTCGGTGTTTGCTGGCGGGGAAAGAATGGTCTGGTCACCCTTCATCTGCACGATACATTGTGCATTGCGCGCCTTTTCTGCTCGCAGTCAGCCACAGCAACACAGGGCACGAGGGCGTCTATGGAATGCTTACCTCGCCCGTTGAAGGGTCGACATCGCACCACGACCTTGATGTTGCCGCCTCCTCCGGACGCCATGGTGGGCAGGCGTGCAGTGGGCGGGCTAGAAGGCGGAAATCCGGGGTATATGTACTAGGGAGAAAGGAGAGGGCAGCGAGGGCGGTAGGTTGCAGCAGCAGCGGTCAGAGGCGGAGACTGTGAGACTTCATGGGCGGCGACTGGGGCAGTCGGAGGTGTGTGTGCGGGCGAGGATGTTGTTTTTCGGGCAAGGAGGTGGTTGAAGCCACAGACATAGGGTGGTGTTGTTATGGGAGTTGAAATCGCGGTCCAGGGACAAGCAAGCAACTTCTTAGGATTACGCGATCCTTGCACCCTGCATTCCCGCCCCGGCGAACTTCTGGCCACTCAGCAGGCCCCGGCACCCTTTTGCGATAATTGGCGCGTGTAAATAACCAGGCGTAGCAAAGCCGGCCAGGTGCTGTGCTGCGAGGATGCGGCTGAAGAGTGCTGCAGGTACATCATCTGGCTCGCATCGACAGGTCGAGGGGCATCTGACGGGCCATGCTCGGTACCTGGGCCCGACGGGGGACCCTGACGCTGCGTCATTCCACAAAACAATCCCACCACCACATTTACTTTCACCCTCACCACCACACCACCCCCGCCACTTACCACTGCGCCCCCATCCCGCGCTTCAATGTCCCTCCCAGAGGCGACCGACGACATGTTCGCGCCCCCTGTGAACCGCGCCATGAAGGTGCTCGACCGCAGCTTCTTCCAAAAAACCATCCCCACTTCGGCCGCCCGCATCTTCAACCCCAAGGACATTTCGCGATGCCGCAAGGAACTCACTGCCGCCAAGGACACGCTGCCAAACAATCGCGTCGATCCAATTAGGGCAGATCCTGACGCAGACCGAGCGCAGCAGGGCGGCAAGTGTCTGCTCCTGCGACCGGAAGTCGTTCACACTGGTGAGTCAGCCGACAGGCGCAAGTCGCAGGTACATCCGGGTGCTGAGTCTGAAGCCAGGCAGATCGAACCACATGGTCCCCTAAGCTGCGCGATCTTGAACAGGACGGCACATTGGGCGTGATACCCTACCAGCTGCACCTCGACTACGACTACTTCACCTACTCGGAGATCACGGGCGCCATCATCCCCCCACCAGAGTCCAAGCACGACGACGAGATCCCCCAGGGCTTCGCCCTCGCCGGTCATGTCGCCCACCTAAACTTGCGTGAGCGATACTGGCCATACAAGTACCTCATTGCCGCGGTTCTTGCCGACAAGAACCCCATGGTCAAGACCGTCATCAACAAGCTGGACAATGTGGGCACGGAGAATGCCTTTCGCACATTCCAATACGAGGTCCTGCACGGGCCTGACGACATGAACGTCGAGCTTCGCGAGCAGGGCTGCACCTTCAAGTTTGACTTTGCCAAAGTCTACTGGAACACACGTCTGCACACCGAACATGAGCGCCTCTGCAACCTGTTCAAGGAAGGCGAGGCTATATGCGATGTCATGGCAGGCGTAGGCCCATTTGCCATCCCCTCTGGCAAGAAAAAGTGCTTCGTCTGGGCCAACGACCTCAACCCCGAGTCGTACAACTCGCTTATGAACAATATCAAAATCAACAAAGTCGGCCACTTTGTCCGCCCCTTCAACACTGACGGCGGCGCCTTCATCCGCCGAGCATCTGCCCACCTCCTCGTCCAAGACTCCCGGCACACCGTCCCCATCTACCCAAAAACCAAATTCTCCCGCAGCAACCCCCAGGAAAACAAGCAACCCGAGCCCATCAAGACGCTCGTCCAACCCCGCTTCTTCGCCCACTACGTCATGAACTTGCCTGCCTCTGCTATCACCTTCCTCCCTTCCTTCATCGGCCTCTACGCCAACATCCCCGGCCTACCTGCCGCTGATATCAAGAAAATGCTAGCCCCCCACACGGAGCAGAAGTTACCCATGATCCACGTCCACTGCTTCTCCACAAAGAGCGACGACAATGTAGCTGAAATCAAGGGCATTTGCGAGGAGATAAGTAGACAGATCGAGTACAAGATTACGCCGGATATGCAGGATGTGTACGTGCATGATGTACGCGACGTGGCGCCTAAGAAGAGGATGTTTTGTGCGAGTTTCAGGTTGCCAGAGGAGGTTGCGTTTAGAGAGGTTAAGCTAGGAGGTTCGTAGAAAGGAACGAAAACAAAAGTTGGGAATGGAATCATAAAAGGTGTTTGTCTGAGATGACCCCCACATTGTCCTTTGCTCTATATGTCTTCCTGATTGTGGAAAAATATGCAGCCTACATATCCATTAACATCTCTTCTTCCCCTTCCTCCTCTCCTTCTTCTTCACATTCAATCCCTTCCAACGCCCTCTTCACCCCTTCTTCCAGCACCATCACCGCCATTCCTATATCACTCACTCTTCCATACGTACCACGCAACTTCCCGTCTATCCTACCCACCCACTCCGCAATCCGCCCGTCCGACACATCCGCACCGAACCCGCAGTACGCACATCGCGCCGCTGCATCCCAATTCAGACTTGACTCCCGGTACACGAGTGCGAGTGACATGATGGATAGGATGCTAATGGTAAGATGAAGTGTTAAGCTGCATGCGGGTTGTGGGATTTGCCCGTGCGGCGGCGCGGGGGGTATGCGAGTGTCGTGTGCGAGACGCTGGGATGGATGGATAGCTGCTTTGTCTTCTTGAGTACGGAAGAAAGAAGTCATGGAGTCTGTGCTTGTGCGGCGGGATATGGTGGCCTGTGTGGCCAGCTCGTTATGGGGCGGTGGGGGAGGTGATGTGTGGGTTTCGTTCCGTGCAGCGGTGCGGGTGGTTTGGCTGGCTGGACAGTGGGCTACTGGGGATATACTATGTAGGTTGTTTTTCCTGTTTTGCAGAAAAGAGGGGCTGTGGTGGAGTGCGAAAGAGGTCGAGGATCGAGGTTGACTTTGGGCTGGTGGATTGATTGGCGTAAAGGATGGGTTTTGTATGGGGTGGATTTCTTGGATCTCGCTTCTTTGATTGAAGAAATCTCGGATGTCGGTGTGCTTGACTGGAAGGGGACGGATAGCCTCTTCTTGCTGTACTGCTCCTACTAAGCGCCTTTGTGAATTGTTTGTTGCAACAAGCGGTGCTATGGCGTCTTTGGCTTTCTTTTGACGAGTGGTCTTTCTCACCATGAATTGATTTTGAATTAGAGGGGGAGCTTCTTCTGGAAGAGCTATTTCGGGGGCTATATTGCCGTATTGACTCAATTGCGATGTCCGGGTTTCTGGTGCTCGGGTCTCAGACCGTAGGACAGAGGTTGGTACTTCTCCTCTTGAAACATGTGTACTTGTATCATTGATTGATTGGCTTCCCTGGCGATTCAAAAACCAATCATTAATACTTTCGGCTCCCGATGACTGCGGAGGTAAGCGTTGTATGCTACGTTGAAGCTCATCATCTAGCACTGATTGCACCATGTTCGCCTTCGAAGATGTCTGAGGCGTCAAAGGTTCTGGTGAAACCACTCGATTAGGTGTTGCAAGTATCCTAGGACTAGAACTTGAATCAACATTTCCAGTACTTTTCGCTGGTCTCAAAAGTCGCCCATTGCTAGCGGACCCCCTGGGTTTGATCGCAGCGTTCATTCGAGCGATAGTCCAAGGGTTGGATACTTCTGCGGCGTAACGTCCCTCTTCTTCGTCAATGATAGGAGTACAGTCGTCCTTCAAGAACTCCAGATCCTCTTCGTCAATGCCATACATGCTGTGTCTCCACCTTGGCTGTGGCGCAGAGACTGATGCTTCGTTCTGATCACTCGTGTTGTGTGATTCAGATGTGATTTCGTCCAGATTCTGCTCCACTATATTCCCTGGCTCAATCTGACAGTTCTGCTGGAAATACAAAGACGGCTCATCTTCATCGAGATTGACCACTGCCTCAGGATAGAAGGAACCCAGCAACTTTTCCCAGACCCCCAAAACGATGTCACTGTCCTCAAACATAACGTCGTCTTTGGCCGGCTCGATATTGGGATCATAGCTTCCAGGCGGACAAATAATGTTGATGCAGAAAAAGGGATCTCTAACACCTGTAAGAGAGGCATTTGCTTTCCCAAGTCGTTGTTTGTGAACATGAACCATCTGCTTGATAGTCCCACGATTGCTCGACACCGGCCGTGCATCAACCGCGACAAAGCTGCCATGGCCTGAAATCTTCGACCCAATCGCTATTGGTTTGGGAAGAAAAGCGCGAATCTCGAAGCCATCGGCTTCTGCAGTAGTGAAATCGCACTGGGCAGCGCAGTCTCTACCGAACGTCTTCAGCACAGCATCTCCAACATCAGCATGAGCTCTCGGAGCATAGCTAAAATCGCCATTACTATTCTTAGCCTTGAGCACACGAAGCCTAAATCGAATAGTCGGCCTGGCAAGAGCATATGACTGCATCAGCCGTCGAATCTTCGCCAGACACTTCGCTACGTTCCTAATCGCCGTCTGTTTCCGAACAGGTATGTAGTCGAAGAAACCCGTTACCTTGACAGTTGTGCCGACGGGATGTGAATCATGCGTGACACTACACTCATCAGTCTTTCTCATCCTTGTGTGATACACCATACACTAAGAGACTTACGATTCAAGTTCCCCACCCCGACTATACTTCAACTTGACAGCAACAGGCTCGCCCTCCACTCTCGTCGTCACACTGAACGCGCTGCTCATTTCCGCCATACTTGCGAGAGCCTCTCCACGAAAGCCAAGCCATTTGCCTCCTATTTCTCTCAGATCGTTCAAATCCCTTATCTTGCTCGTGCAGTAACGGCGACATACAAGAGATCGGTCTTCACTTGGGATGCCGTGGCCGTCGTCCTTGACTTGGATAGAATCGATCGTGTTGGCGGAAATATCAACAAAGATACTTTTTGCACGGGCATCGAGAGCATTTTCAATGAGTTCTTTCACGACTGAGCTGGGATCGACGAGGACTTGGCCGGAGCCCAGTTGTCTTATTGTTGGGGGTGCAAGTGCAGCGATGCCGGGTTGTGCGACTGTGTTGGAGGCATCCGCCATATTTGAATAGAACGACTGCAGTATCACAATATTGAACAAAGAATTGAAAAAAAATGAGTAGATGAGAGGCATAGTTGAGGGGTACCCATATGTGAGTCCTCTCCATGGTGCCTGCCTCTTCCAGCATGTCGATGCAGAGACTGGAAGGCGCCACCCTACCACCCTTACATCTTGTACCTAGTGTCTTGCTATTAAGGAATGGTGCAAGTAAATTCCATTTCTCATTCACGTAAATCTCAATACCTTCGAGTGCAATGGACAAAAAGCTCCAATATGCGCCACCCCACCCACACATGCTCTCAAAGTAACCAATCAGAGCACAGATTTTCCTTGTAACCTACGTATCCCCTCTGTACTTCTTAATAAAAAAAACCGCTTTCCCCCATCCCAACTACACAATTAATCATCCCGTCTCTAAAAAAAAACACAATCTCCTTTTTTTCTTCAAGCTACAAAACATCTCACACCCCTCTCTCCCCCCCTTTTTCATTTAGAAAAAAAAACAAAACCACTCCAGAAGATGCCCTCCTACACAACACCAACCTCACGCCACCACGCCCTCACAACCCGCGACCCCTCCTCGCACAACGCCTTCATATACGCCGTAAAAACAACACGCATCTATTGCCGCCCCACCTGCCCGGCGCGGCTCGCCCGCAGAGCAAATATCCTCTTCTACAGCACGTGGCGCGAAGCCGAAGCCGCGGGGTTCCGCGCGTGTAAGCGCTGCAAGCCCAACGTCGTCGACGTGCTTGATGACAATAGGCAGGGGCAGGCGGTGAGGAAGGCGTGTGAGCGGATTGAGGAGGCGGTGGGGAGAGGGGAGGAAGGAAGGGTGAGGTTGGGGGAGTTGGCTGGTGCGGTGGGGTTTACGCCGAGGTATTTTCATAGGATTTTTAAGGAGAGGATGGGGGTTACGCCTAGGGAGTGGGTGAGCAAGGTTGCTGGGGACAAGAGGAGGGAGGAGGGTGGGGGGTCTACGGGGGTAGTGGAGATGGGTGAGCAAGCGTGGGTTGGAGAGAAGTTTGATTTCAGTGATTTGATTGATTTTGGGGCGGATGCGGAGACGCGAGATTTTGACCATCTTGCTGGGCCTTGGAATCAGTCTTTCATTATGGATCCGGAGCTTAGTCTCGATGCGAATGGGCTTTCTCAGCCTTGGAGTGCGTATGCGCCGGCTCAAGCGATCTCGGGCTTCTTTCAGCCTATGCCAGATGATACAAGCTTCTGTGAGAAGACTATGTCATTTACATCTACACTCGAGCTAGATGCTTCAGTGCTGCTCAACTGGGATAACATGGCAAACATGCCACAGCGACAGTCCTCATAGCTTCCATAGAAAGACCAACCCCATCTTGCCCAAGCATCAGACATGCCTCCCGCTCGTGATAATGCATCTGCAATCCATATTCAACACATGATGCGTGACGCGCACTTCACCAACCACGCAACTAGGCGTGAATCCTCGAATCGAGCCATATCGCAGACATCCCAAGGGTACCTAATCTTCACACCGTCAGCCCAAGATCCAAGACAAAGAGTCCAGATTACGTGTAAAGTGACGAAGCTCTTCAGAGACCAAGTTATAAGCAGCGACAGCGTAGCATATGTCGATGCTAGCCATACCTTTTCCGGCTCTTCCTAAAATATTATATGGTCGATGTACATATCATCTTTTGAGCGGCTTGTTTTCATGCGCGCGCATGCTGTAATTGAGGAAAAAGTCTCAAACGTACCTGTTACAATGGGCATTGGAGGCCAGGCTGTTGGGTTAGCGGGGACCTAATTGTGCGACATCATTGACAGCTTTTAGCTTCTAGCTTCATGAAGGTGATATGGATATGCTAGGCGATAAGCGTATTGCTTCGCGCTGCTGGTGTCGCGGTGGGTGAAGCAGAGACGTGGATGAAGAAAAGTTGAAGGGTTCGGAGGTTAGGTGCAGAAGACGCCGATTGGGGGGACCCACATATGCGAAGCGAGGCGCTAACGGCATTGGACTCCGCGATCCGTTCGTGTGCATCAAGTGCAAGGTCTACTAGTCAATCTCACTATTGAATTCTGTATAGAGTCGTTTACCATATTCGTCATGCCGGCCTGTCTCAGCGCAGTAAGCCCTTTGCAATTGCCACCATCATCTTCTGACCTTTACGAGCCAACAGCCTCCCAAGCACTGAGCGGATCCGCCCAGATCTCCCAATGCCCAATCTTCCCTTGCTCGTCAAACTCACTAAACCTGTGGATAAACTGCTCATCCCAGGCTTTTCCCGTCTTCTTACTGGCAAAGCGTCCCTTGCCAACTACACTGACCATGCCTGCCTCTGCATCGACAATGAAACCCTCTTTGCCCGGGAATGCGTCACTGGGGAGCGACATGTCCAGCACACCAGACATAAGCTCGAAGTACTCCTCACAACCCTGTTTTCCAGAAAAGGTCTTGGCCAGAAAAGGGAGTCGTGATCGCGCCCATTCAGGTCCGTGCTCTGTGATCTTGGGCGTGTCGCTAAAGTACTTTGACAGCAGGTCTGAGGGCGGGGGAGGTGAGAGGAGGGCGTGGCAGAAGGAATGTGTGGCCTCGCGTAGAGAGGTGCTGCGACTTGACGACATGACCGAGGGGTATTTCTGCGAATGGGAGAGCCGCACGACTAGTTGTTGTAGTGGTAGTGGTGTGCTTAGAGTCGTCTGGTAAGCGCTGCACGTGGACCTCTTGTGCGTCTGTGTACGTTTGACTGGCGCTGCGGCATGTAACCCTGTGCGCCCTGAGCGATGACTGGGCCCACGACGACTGTTGTGGCTTATATGCGGGACGGTTAGTCCGTCTGGTGGGTGAGCTAACAGTCGGTCGGTGCTGTTTGGCGAAGCGGTGGGCGTCGGCTGGAGACGTATGTAAGACTTTAGTTGTTGGGGCCAAGACAAGACGGCTACGAAGGGAATGGTCGTCGAAGGAGGAGGGGTCCGCTAGAACAAAGGACCTCGGGTATGCCTATTCCGGCCAGCAGTAGTGTTGCGAACAGAGGTCAGGCGGGGACAATGGGATGGCTACGGCTTCGTTGTTTGTATGGGTGTAGGTAGTACGCAAAGACCAATCAATGAAGTCATAGTGATGTCCGCCCAGCTGCTACTATGGACTCTGGCAGCCACTATGTCAGATGGATCATGGCAAACAAATTCAACCAAGTGGTACGCATTGGGTAGTTGCTCCTTCTCGTCTTACTGGCATGTTGGTCGCTTAGTCCAGCCGTTGACGAAGGCGGTAAAATACATCGTCGCGTACTTCCGTCGCTTGTCCAAAGAGGGTTCCATGAGCCGGTCACCATCATCTCATGCAAAGCTTATTGCACATCTTCCATACCCCCGTATGCCCTGTCCACAAGGCCACCAATCATGTCCAGTCGTTGCAGCCGCGCCCTTTCTACAAGTACGTCAGCAAGGCTGCCGTGCAATTTACAGGCGTCGCAAATCATGTAGCTTACCTGCAGTAATGCTGCGGTAAACGCCCCTGTTGGCTCCAACGGAGATATTGGGGATGAGTCAGACGGATTATGCCGTTCTCAATCTCTACGTAGTATGTACTTGCTTGCAGAAAAAAAAACATGGCTCTGGAAGTCACTTGAAACAGGATTATTGCAAAGTCTTTGAGGATAGAATACATTTGATTGTAGTGGGAATCAAGGTTCCATGCAAAATTCGAAAACGCCGAGTAAATGGTATCTATGCCGTGCCTCACGGTTCCCGTACAAACGCCTATCGCTAAGACAATCCAGCGTCATCATTCAACAAGTTCAGCTCAGTCGGTCCCAGCGCTGAGATCAACTCAGCCCATGGCCGTGAACAGACACACTTGGCGGGCCATCTGGCTAGCTAGCAGGATCTCTCTAAAGACCTGGTCCATGCCTCCCCGGAAGTGGATAGTGTAGCTATCGACTTTTCCCTTTCTCCGCTTCTCTCCCCACACCAGCTTGATAGGCTTTGCGTCGTCGCACCGCTTACCCGTCCTGCTGCCTGGCTTTGCCCAATCCTTCTGGTACTCGTACAATGTCTCTGGCATAGCGTCGTCGTTGGGATCCCCCTGCTTCCAAACAAAGCGTCGGCCACCATAGGTAAATCGTCGCGGGGACCACGGGATCTTTTGCTGCCTGTCGGGGTACTCTTTGACTGGTTGTGAAAACGGGCCACGGAGGTGGATGCATCGTGACTTGTAAGCAGCGTCTTTGGAGGAATCGGTCGTCATGCGCTTCTTGTCGATACCGGAAAGGAGGACGGATATGCATGGCTGGGGGAACTCTGCCACGCGGAAGAAGTCTGCGGCGTTTACTTGGCTGTCGTCGCGATGTGTGGCCTCGAGCATATATAGCATGTACTTGTCCGAGTGATCGCGCGCACTGTAGATGTACTTTCGGAAGCCTGATGAGCCAGTCCATTCCCGTGTGCGGTGCAGGTGGAATGTGGTTGTGGGGAGAGATGGGTCAAGAAGAGCATGGTAGGGGATATCTGTTGAGGGGAGTTCATCGTGCAGTGTATGTGAGATTGGTGAGTAGGAAGTCTGCCATGTGAGGAGGTTGTGGATCTGGACCGTGTCAGTCATGGATATACAGAAACATGGTAGGTCGTCGGGCTGCTACATACTGCTGAGAGAGTCTCGCTCTCCTCGTCCAAGTCGCCATTGGCTCCCCATTGGTTTGGAGCGGGGACAAAGACGCATTCGTTGCCCTCCTCGTCAATCTGGTCGCTGCCACTTTCCAGGTGGGGGCGCAGGGCTCTTTGGCGCTCTCGGTGGATGGTGATCTGGGTCTTGATGATTCGCACTTGTTCGTCTGAGATGTCGTCTGGCGAGATGCTCGCGTAGGCCTGCTCTATTTCGTGTTCCAGCTCCAAGGCAGCGGCTCCGTGCTGCATGTAGGAAGTGTCGTATAACCAGGCATGTTCGGATTCAAAGGCCGAGCTCCGGAGCAGGTGGAGGTTGTCGTGGGATGTAAAGACTGGGCGACCCATTGTGGGCGAGATTGGTGCAGTGTATGCGTGGTGTGCGTAGTGTGTATGGTGGTGACAGGTAGACTTGGTGGAGGGAGTGTCAAGTTTCGGTGCAGCGTTTCAACCTGGCGTAGGACAGGACATGAGGGAGGGCGGGCAAGACATGCAAGACATGAAGGGCCGAGGGCTGAAGCAGATAATCATGGCTGGCTAGCTCCATGCTGGCACCAGCTGATGGAACAGCATCCGGGAAGGTATGCGAGTAGCGGGCCCTGGTCATACCGACGTTTGGTGCTGTGGTACGGGGGCGTCCTGGGGCCAAATTGCGGTGGCATGGGTTAGGCGGCGCATGAGTCTAGCCGGATGGGGTAGTACGAGATTGAGTGTCAATGTAACGCGAGCATCCAGACTGCTGCGCCAGACTGTCCTGCACCGCTCACGGCGGGGGGTCCTGCGTGTCCTGCGTGTCCTGCGCTGTCCTGCGCGTCCTCTTCCATGTCTTCGCCCTTGGCCCCAAGACCGACTGTGCAAAAGGCTCCCCAGGCTGAGGCCGGGTGGAAATTAGCATGGCCCCATTCCTGTCCCCCTCTGTCATGCGGCCGTTGCCTTGGGCTGCCATGCCGCCGCCATGCCGCCATATGCCGCCATGCCGCTTCTGCCTGCGCCCTGACAGCTTTCTCTCACCGGCCGCCCCAGCTCGCTCCATCACCACAACCACTACCACCACAACACCCCCAACACCCCCAACACCCCCCAACGCCCACCGCCTAGCGCCCATCGGACTCCGAACACGCTGGCATCCCGTGAGGCCCATGGCCTTGACACCACTTGGCGCCTCGCTGCGCTGAGGACATGCCACGCCAGAGCTGACACGCTTACACACCCACTACCCCACATGGCCCTGTCCGGCACCGCCGTTGCGCTCGGCTCCCGCGACGGATGCAAGATAAGAGCCAGGCCCCTCTACCACCAGTTCGCTTTCCCTCGTAGCCTCTGGCGGACCGTGGGGCGGCGGATCGACATCATGGCGTCCTTTGCACACACCATTCGCTAGCCTTGCCCTTTCTCGTTACTACCTACACTTGTACTTACGTACGTACGTACGTATCTGCTACAGCACTCGCACTGAGCATGCACGCCGGGCTCACTTTCTCTTGTTTCCCCTTGGCCCTACATACGTGTCAGAGACAGCCACCACCAACACCCTCCGGGCCCCGTCGGCCCATCTCTCCACGGCCCGCTCGCGGAGAGTCCATACTATGTATGTATATATTGACGCTGAGTGCAAAGGCTGCATCCACAGAGTTTGCTTGGCGCTTCGCACGGGAACGCGATGCGATCGAGACGGCGACGAGAACCATGCGGTTGGGACGTGGGCTTGACCACACTATCGGATTCAGGTTTGCTTTTAGCCTCAATTCAACCGTGGCTGGCTCCACGTCCCGCGCCCACCAAGCAACCTCGCACTCGCAATACATGGCATCACTCCTCCCACCCGTCTAATGCAGTCGTTGTATCACGCCTGTCCTCTGCTCTGCAAACTGGTCCCCGAAATGGTCGCCGAACACTCCCAACACGGTTCACCGCTTTCATTGCATCGTGGTACCTCGTCCGTGCTACACAGCACCCTATACAAGCTTGCATTCCCCACTGCAACACAGGATACGTAAATTTTTTCATCGCAACACCAGCAGTCGCCGACTGACCTCGGGTGCCCCAAATTCACACCTTGGATATGTGCTCTGCACCCCGGCTGCGTTCATCTAACCAAAATGAGAATCTAGCATCACGTCCCGTACTCACAAAATTTATCGCCGACCACCTAACGTACCGCCAGAGCGACTTAAAACAGCGCATCACTCTCCTCAATCGGCACCAACTTTCCCTTCCCCTTGAATGTCTCTACTATGCGCCCCTGTTCACTCAACATGAACCTTGCCGTCTGATTTCCCACAGCCGCCAACCCCCTCCACCTCTCCAGATCTTCCTTGTTCCTTTTGTCGCCCAACGCCTCCTTGGACCTCTTCCAATGGCCCTCTGAAAATGCAATCATTGTCGTCATCGTCTTCTCCTTGATGTCGTACACTGCAGAAACCACAGTGCCTGTCTCCTCAAGCCAATTGATTTGCCAGAGCTCCCCAGGACGTATGCATTGGTAGGTTGCTCGTTGGTAGTTTATCCGGCCCGCCATGGGTCCCCCGTGGATAGCGTACACTACCCGGTCAGATGAGAAGCACCATAGTTCATACCGCCATCTCTCCGGCTTTCCATTGCTGTCCTGCGCGTCGTAGTCGTAGATTAGGTGCGTGTCCAGAATGTCCTTTTCAAAGGTAGGATCAAGAGGGGTGTTGGTGAGGAAATCGGGGAGATTGTCGCCTGGTGCCATGGTAGGTTTGGGGGAAGATGATTAGGGATTAATCTTTTCCGAAACTTTTTTTTCGGTGAAGAGAAGGAAGCTTATTCTATCTTGCTTGGGTTTGAGGCTCTTTTTAAAAGGGGTACCAAGTCTAGTTGTTCTTTCGCTCGGCGCTACCGGAATCGATGACGTAGCGAACTTGCACCTGCTACGGCACATTCTGTACCTTGTCGCGTCACTTCACACTATTGGAAAGACTAAAATCAGTGTTCTAGTACCAGAAAATTCCATTACTGACGCCAATTCGTTCGGTAGTCACTTTTGATGGTCACAGTGGGCTTTTGGGTTGCTTAATGTCGTCTTTCGTTAGGATTACTGGGGACTTTCTGCTTACTGCGCCTACTGAGAATGGATTAAACCTATTTTCTTCTCTAGTCATTATTCCTCATTATAGGGAACAACTTGAATACAGAAAAAATGTTACCGTATACGAAAACGGAAGGCGGAGCTACATTTCTCTCCCTTGTTTCCACTCAACAGAAGCGATCATGGTATGCTTTGAATTTCGGCACCCAATCACTATTCTAATCTGGATCTTGTCCAGAAAATGACAGGATAACTGCATTGGCCGTTCAGGAACAAGGGAAAGGAAATCTCTAGTCAAGGGTCCAGTGTACAGCAACACTAGAATTTATTCCAAGTCGAGACAAAGCGCGTACGTCATCATGTGGGACTCCAGACTCTTTGATAGTGAGACTAATTATGGCCGCCACAGAAACCAGTACAACTACGAGCGTTGTGTATTCCATCAATCAACTCGTCACACCTACTTCCACGTCCTTTCCCTTGAAGTTATAATCGTTACCCGACGATCCTTTCGCGAGCGCTTCTCCAACTATTGTGCTGTCATCGAGTGGTGTGACACCAACTCTTCTTGCTTCAGCCAAGGTAAAGGTACCGTATACATCAATGGGATCCATCTGGCCCATATCGGCAACAGGGAAGAGGATGTTTAGCAGATAGAACAAAACACCGCTGATGAAGAAACCTAGACAATTGTTAGTCGATTGTGACTATTCTTTGTATCATTGCAGAATACGTCACTCACCAATTAAGAAGGCCATGTAGTAAAGTTCCACCAAAGCCCGTGGTGGCCTCGCATCTCCCCTCACCGTCACGACTAGCCCTCCAATCGTAGGAGCCCATCCGCACAACCACGCCGGTATGGCACGCCAGTTGAATCCCTTGGTGAAGTAGTACTCGGACATTTCTGTTCGATACAAATGCGTCAGGCGGATCCTTCTCTTTCTCAGGATATAGTAGTCGCAAGCCATGATGCCTATAATCGGAGCCAGGAAAACCGAAAACGACGACAAGACCGCGATAAAAGTGGTTGCTCGATTGATCAGTTGCCAAGGCTGAACAATCCATGCAGCGACAAAGGTGATGATTGCGCCGCGCCGGATATTAATGTATCGGGGAAACAGACCAGCAAGATCGATACCGCCCGCAACGGTGTTACCGCAGATATTCTCAAACATGGCGGTGAAAGCGAAGCCAGCAGATAGGAAAAAGACGCCTGCGCGGGATCTCGACGACCCTTTTCCATTGTCCATGATGCGCATGAGTAAATCCGGCGGGTTCCAATATACCTCGCCGTAAATCTTTTGTGCTGCAGCTGCAGTAACGAGGCCAATGAGTGAGACTAACACACCAGTGACTAAGCAGCTGCCAAAAGTACCCCAAAGGTAGGACCTTCTTCTACGTGCATACCGCGAGAAATCACTTCCGTTGGTAATTCCTGCCGCCAAACCGCCGATGCTCTGATTGATGCCCGCCATGATGAGCCACGAGGTATTCCATTCCGAGTTTGCCGGTACATTTTGACCAGAATTCCACAACGGGCCCACGCCTTTTGCCGTGGCTAGAGCCCAAATCATCCATGCCAGCATGCCGACGCCGCACCATGTGCAAACGACGAGGAACGGGATCTTGAATTTTTCCGGTCGAAGCCATAGGAACGGCGTGGAAAGGAACCAGAAAACAACAAAGCCAACGAATTGCTCGGTCGTAGTCGGGAAATTCGGACTAAATGTATTCGGTATGCGTGCATACGACGGCCAGATTGCCGTCAAACAAACGGCGACGAGACGACCGCCATTCCAACCTGTTACCAAAGATCCCAAGTTAAAAAAATCTTGAACGCTACAGAAAAAAAAACTCACTCCCCTTTCAAACTTCCTGATTCCTGTTCAATTGGAACTGGAAATCGATAAGAGAGAGGGGGCGAGAGACGGAGGAACTTACACTGAACCGCATTCCAAATAAAATTCAACATGATGCGCTGCAAAAGCGGTATAAAACTGCCCCTCATCCCCCAGCTATACCGGTTCTGCACCGTGAAGCCAATATGCCACTTTAGTCCGATCCACGCTATCAGCGTCGAGAAACCGGCAATGAGAATGCGACTGACGACTATGATGAGCATGGCTTGTGGGACGGAGAGACCCATGGCTTTTCGTTACTCATAAACACACGTCAGCGGCCTGATGTTTTTTCTCTTTGACTATTCTTCTTCATCAAGAGCATTGTGTCTAGCGAAGGCGGTGGGGGGCGGGAGGAAGAAATATGTATTTGGGGGCGTGCGGCTTTTTTTCTTCTCCTCTCTCTCTAGGACAATAGGAAAATATCAAATACCTAAGAAGGTGCTGGGTGTCTGCCAATTCGCCAGATTCAACGATCCAATGGACCAGAAGCCGAAGAAATTGAACCAACCCCATGTTCGCCGCTCGGGGGGTAAGGGGATCAAGTCGCGGTTGCTCCATGCGTCTGTTTGTTCGTGTTTGGCTTCGTTGCCTTTGAGGCGGAGGGCTTGGGGGAGGGAGGTTATGCGGTGTTTTAGGGGCATCTTTCTTTGTTGGTCTTTTTTTTTTCAATTTCACGTTCGATTTAATTTACTTTGATTCAGTTTTGGTGTTGGACATGAAGGTGAACGGGTGAATTAGGGAAGAGAGGGCTAGAGGGGGGAGGGGGGAGGTGTGAGGAGGGAAAGGCGGAGAGGGCAGAGCTGAGGAGGGACAGCTGAGGAGAGACAGCTGAGTCGTATGTCTTTTATCAAAAGCAAGAATCAAAGGTATGGGGTGTTTATCTTGCGGGACCGGGAGGGCTCGGCGCCGAGCCCCTTGTGCAGTGGCGTCCCGTACATACTGCAGCGGGGATGGGGGAGGGGATGGGGGGAAAGCACTATCTAGATGGAGGAGGTTGGGCGGCGGGTACCGTGGCGATTGACGCGATTGGATGGGAATGGCTGGGTGTCAAGAGTGTGTGGTTTGTGGACTAATGGAAAGCTTGTTTTTTCTTGAATCATATGATATTTGCGTGATCCGACAGCTGGTTGAGTGTGTTATGCGCAGTTATAATACGTAGAAGGAAGCGTATGCAAGTCTGTAATAGTGATAGCTCGACTGTGCATTGATCACTTGCACGATTCATGACTATTCTGATACCACTTTAGAATGTGACCAATAGTACAGGGGGTATCCAAATCCTCACGAGCCATTTTAATATCGCATCCATGTTCGTTGTTCCCAGGAAAAGGCATGACTGGGGGAGGTAGGAGCAGAGATAAGTTGATAATCGCTTCCGGAGTGCACGTAGCAATGGGTATTCGGGGGGAAAGGAGGGGTTCTTCTTATCCGAGCGATGTATAAGTAGTAAAAGATCGGCAAGTGGGGTTGGAGGGGCACACACGATACTTTGGCAAACGACCGTTTGGATGCAGAGCAGCGACAGAGATTGGCCGTGTATAATGATGGCGAGTACCTAGAATTAAGTTTATTCAGTATCGATTTGGAGATGTTTGGAGAGTGGAGAGGTGAATTGGAGATATACGAGGGTGGGACGGCAGAAAGGCGACCTTTTGTGCAATCGAATACAATCAAGGTGCGACTTCGGGGCTATGTGGCCAGGGTTGGTCTGCCCCGCCAACACGAATCCGCATCTTATCAGATGGGAGCAGCGTCACTTCAGAAATGAAGTGATTTGACAGCATCCCTTGCGGTTTTTGCAACCTCTCATTTTTCCCGCTTTTCTCCAGAAAAGAGTCGTGTAGTTTACCATGGCTGCGATGAAGAATCTGCGAATTGGTGTTGATGTTGGCGGGTGAGCTACGCCGCAAGACAGAGAATGTAGCTGCATTGCAAAACTGACGGTTACTTTGTAGTACGAATACAGATGGAGTCATCATTGACCCTACAAAGTCGAATGATGAGAATCGCGGTATTGTTGCTTGGTAATTTTCCCCTCCTTTGTCACGCTCATAGATACAACTAGCTTGGCATTCCACCCTTATGTACTGACCGTAGTATACGTACCTGAGTCAGGGTAGCCAACTCATTCTATGTCAAATAACATGAGAGCTCACAAATGACCTCAGGCACAAAGCTCCAACGACAACGGATCCTAGCCATGGAATCGCTAATGCCATCACGACAATGTTCAAATCCGCGTCCGTGGATCCAGCATCCGTAGCCAGCGTGACAATAGGAACAACGCACTTTGTAAACGCAGTCGTGACCCGAGACCGCACACGCCTTTCCAGCGTTGCTGTAATCCGTCTCTGCGGCCCATTCAGCAAGCACGCACCACCCTGTGTTGACTGGCCCGCCTCCCTCCGCAACATCATCCTCGGACACTACGCTCTCCTCAAAGGCGGACTGGAAGTCGACGGCAGCCTCATCTCTGACATCAAAGAGGAGGAAATCATCGAGCAATGCCGCATCGTCAAAGAAAAAGGCATCAAAAGCATAGTCGTAAACGGCGTCTTCAGCCCCATCGACACAATCGACAAGCAAGAAGAGCGCGCCTCAGAAATCATCAGACGCGAACTCGGCAACGACGTCGACATTGTGCTCAGCAAGACGGTCGCCAACCTTGGGTTCCTGGAGCGCGAAAATGCCGCGATACTGAATGCGTCGATCCTGAGTTTTGCGAGAAAAACAATTACGTCGTTCCAGACGCCAGTCAAGAAATTAGGTCTCAACTGCCCTGTATTCATCACGCAGAACGATGGCACGATACTCAGTGGCAAAGCAGCAAGTCAGTTGCCTATTCGCACTTTTTCGTCTGGCCCGACAAACAGCATGCGCGGAGCGGCGTTTCTAATGGGAAAGCAAGAAAAGGGGGAAGCTATGATGGTCGTTGACGTTGGCGGCACGACTACAGATGTGGGTTTGCTACTTGCCAACGGCTTCCCCAGACAGCAAGCCGCATACTCTGAGCTATCGGGCGTGCGAATGAACTTTTCGTATCCCGATGTTAAGAGTATTGGGCTGGGCGGCGGCAGTCTGGTGCGGAGAGTTGAGGGGAAAATGCAGGTTGGGCCGGAATCTGTGGGCTATAAGTTGCCGGAAAAGGCACTCGTGTTTGGAGGTAGTGTTGCAACGGCGACTGATTACATTGTTGCGGCATCGTCCGATGTTGCTATTGGTGAGCCGGATAAGGTGCGAGGGAAGCTTCACGAGGAGGATGTACAGGCGTTTAAGACGGAGACGAAACGCATGCTCGAGAGTATTATTGATACCATGAAGACGTCGCCGGAAGATCTTCCTGTTCTTCTGGTTGGTGGCGGCGCAGTCATCGCACCTGATGAGCTCAAAGGCGCAAGCAGGGTGATCAAGCCTCGATGGTCGGGCGTAGCCAATGCAATTGGCGCTGCAATGGCACGCGTCAGTGCCGTCATCGATACTGTCAAGTCGACTGAAAAGCAGTCTCAAAAGGAGCTTCTGGAAGAGATATGTGCTGAAGCCAAGCAAAAGACGATCGAAGCAGGCGGCTCAGCGGATACAGTTGCAATTGTGGAAGTAGAAGATCTGCCCCTGCAGTATGTGGCTAACAAGACTCGCTTCATGGTCCGGGCCGCTGGCGACTTTGACTTTTCCCGTGCAGGCGACTTTTCAGACTTGGACGTGACTAAAGACGGAGAAGAGCCAAAAACCAGTCTGGAGGACACCGGCGCTGCCATTGCTGCGCCATCAACTGAAGAAAATACAGACGAAGCCGATGTTGTGACAGAAGTCGACATTGATACATACAAACCCAACGTCAAGAACCGCGAATGGTGGATCTCAGAAACAGATCTCGCATGGATCACAATCGGATGCTACATACTAGGTACTGGTGGCGGCGGATCCCCCTACTCAACCATGCTTCGAGTCCGAGGAATACTTCGATCAGGCCACACTGTCCGTGTCGTCAACCCCGACGACCTATCCGACGATGCTCTCGTAGGCAGCGGAGGCGGCGCCGGCAGTCCAACCGTCGGCATCGAAAAGCTCTCGGCAGACGAGTAAGTACTTTTCAATTCCCTCCCACCAATTCAACAATTACCAAGTAGAAACCAAAAATAAAAGGAAAACTAACAGCAAAAAAACAACACCAGAATGATGGACGCCCAAACCACGCTCCGCGACCTCAACCCGGGCAACGCGGCCACGCACATCATCCCACTCGAAATCGGCGGCTCAAACGGCCTCCAAGGCCTCGTCCTGGGCGCCTCGTCCAACATGAACGTGCCATGCATCGACGGCGATTGGATGGGCCGCGCGTACCCGACCAAATGGCAAACCACGCCCGTCGTCTTCGGCGAGCGCCCCATCGTCTTCGCCCCTGTGGCCGTCGCCGACGGAAACGGAAACACGCTCTACATGCCCACGGCAGCGAGCGACCTCAAAGTCGAGCAGGTGATTCGCGCCGCCCTCAGCCAGATGGGGAGTGCGGTGGGCACCGCCGACGCGCCTGTTAGCGGCGAGGAAACACGGCGCTGGGCCGTCGAGCACACGGTCTCGCTTTCGTGGCGGATAGGCCGAGAAGTCGCACGGGCGCGAAAGGAGAATCGGATTGATACCGTTGCTGAGAGCATCATCGATGCCATTGGCGGCGCCGAAACAGGGCGCGTGCTGTTCAAGGGCAAGATTGTGGGCGTCAGTCGCAAACTACACATGGGCCATGTCTATGGCGAGGTAGTGATTCAAAGCACCACCCCGGACTTCTCGGGACGCATCAAGATTCCGTTCAAGAACGAGAATATTGCTGCGCTCCGCGTGCCCGAGGAAGGGGACCGCGCGACGGGCGAGGAGCGGAATGAGGATGTGCTGGCGATTGTGCCGGATCTTATTGCCGTGATTGATGCGCAGAACGGCGAGGCGATTGGGACGCCCGAGTACCGGTATGGATTGCTTGTTTCTGTGATTGGGGTTACGGCGAGTGAGCGGTGGACGAGCGAGAGGGGGATTGAGATTGGGGGACCCAAGGCGTTTGGGCTGGGGCATTTGGAGTATAAGCCGCTCGGCAGGTTTGTGAAGCCTGTGAGTGTTATTGATGAGTATGATGGGAGGGCGTAAGCTAGGATAGTAGCTTCCTGTGAACGTGTAGGCTATCAAAGGTATAGATTCTATTTTGGTCTCGGTCTAAGTGGATTAGATACGTGGTAGGTATTTATACGGCCTGGGTCTGTCTCGCGCCAGGATACAACGGCAGAATGATCTTGACGGCAGCTTCGTAGCTCGTGAATAATATTCCACCGCTAAACACTGTTCGACCCAGCCTCATTGTCGTACCCTTCCAGAATCCGCGGATGCCATAGTCGAGTAAAACGCTCTTGACGGCTTCGGCGGTGCTCGTTCCTTTTGCGCTCTGCGACCGCGTCTTGATGACGTCAAAGGGCTGTGTGGAAAGCGTGGTCACGACACCGGCTACTGATCCGTTTGCAAAGTTTACCGCAGTGTTTTGCTCGATATTTCGTTTCTTCTCGTAGTCTTTGAGGATGTTATATGTTCCCAATCGGAATGCCGTCGCGGATGCCTGTTTGAGCGTGGTACCGGCGAATCCGCGGTAGAGACCTAGAATTCCGTGCTCTTTCCAGATAGTCGTAGTAGCATGCAGACCAGAGCGGAACCGCTTTTCCGTCCTGGCGTCGTCTATCAGGGCGGTTTTGATGCGCTCCGTTGGTGTCACTGCGGTTATAGATGCGACGACTCCGGCTGACATGCCGGCGAGAAGGTTGCGCACGGGAGAAAGATTACCGGTTTCCGGGTCGGCGAAGGATGCCTTTATTTGGTCGAAGAAGAGGAAGCGGACGCCATCTTTTCCGACGGAGCCCTGGGGTTATGTTGGTCTTGGTAATACGTATGCAGGGTGTTGCGTGCCTGGGAGTCGGAAATACGGCTTGTCGTGTGTATAGAATGAAGACATGGGGTTCAAAAGAACCAGCAATTTGCATGGTTTCCAATGCAAAAATGTTGGAAAAAAAAGAGAGACAACAACACTTACAAACACCAGCGCTCCACACCCCTTGTACAGCGCTCGGATACCCTCGTTCCGATATATCTGCGTAATCACCAAAAACGGGTTCCTGGGCGTCGGCACCCCCTTCTCAGCCCTCAGCTGCACTCTTGTCTTTGCGAATTCGAGCGGATACTACAAGAGCAGACAATGTAAGTCACGGGGCATTTCGGAGTTTAAGCGCAGTTGGGGGTGTTATTACCGAGAGAAAGCCTTCCACACCGCCAGCAACACCACCGGCTGCGAGCGAAACTACCGCTGGTATATTGTCGTCCTGGTTTCGAGCAAAGTTAGCTTAGGTCGGCCTTGTCTGACGCGTGTTGCACTTATTTAGGGGGGAAACTTGCATTGCCGCCGGAAACCATTTGTGTAGTGGGGAGGGGTTTTTTGGGCGTTTTCTTGGTTTTCTTGTCTAATTAGATGAATGCGCGGGTGATGGGTTGCGGGTTAGGAAGAAGTGCAAGGCCAAGGGAAGGAAATCCGGCCAACCAATTGGCCTTGCCCTTAGCCGAATCGTCGGGACTCGGATGACGCAGTGGCGGCAATACCAAAGCGATATTTCCCGAGGCGCGATAATTGGACTATCACAGTGGTTGCTCTTTTGGGGAGGTTTCCAGAAGCATCAGTGTTACCCGAATGACTCAGCGTCAAATACATGCCATGTCTTCTTGTTTGCGAGCCCAGAATGCAATCCATACAGAGCGCTTTTCGAGCTGGAGTGTGGCTGGGGTCAACCAAAGCCCATGCATCACTCATCCACCCCAACTAAACTACTAAACCGATTATCCCTAGCCGCAGCATACGACTTCATATCATCATTCCCATCCTCACTATCGCCTTGGTCGCCCACACCACGTCGCGACCTATCCAAACCCTTCAACACATCCCCCACATTCCACGCGATCCTCTCTGCGCCAATTCGGGCCCCAACCAAATTCGGCGCTCCGGGCCCTAGTCGCAGTCCAGCAAGCCGGCCCGTAACAAAGAGCGGTACGTCATTGTTCCACATCATATCCTCAGTCAGACAAGGCAAGCCGCCAACGTACTTGATCGGATGCTGTTTCTGGATCGTCTGCAGAAAAGGTATGGTGCGGATATCTGACTGGATGCCCGTGGCAAACACAATGTAGTCAACCGGTGGGAGACCAGCTTGCGACGACGACGACGTCTCGCACGACCAAGTCTTGCAACAAGGGTCCCAAGATACCGATTCGAGCGTTGTGTGCGTATGTAGAGCAATCTTACCGTTCCCAATGTGCGTGTCGAGAATCCGGCGGTACCGGGGTGTCATGCTGCCGCCGTTTCGGGCAACCATGATCATTTCCCATCGTTCTAGGAAAAAGAAAAAAAGGACCATGTTAGCCTTGCAGCTCTCATCCAATGTGGCATCGGATGCCTACCTTCGTCTGTATCCGCAGTCCAAAACGCAGCTTGGTTGAAGTTCCGGAATTTGCCGACCCAGTCCAGGTCAATGTCAAAATACTTTACCTTGAGCGGTCCGCGCATCAGCATCCAAACTTTATTTACACCTCGCTTGAGCGCGAGATCAGCTAGCTGAATGCTCGTCAGGCCGCCTCCAATGATAAGCAGGCTGGTGTTTTGCCGAGCCTGGATCTTGGCGACGACGTGTGGCGCAGGGAACTGCTTGATCTGCATGGCGTGGGAGAAACCTTCGTGCGGGCGTTCACTGGGTAGGCCGGGCACAGGGGGTAGCGATGGGGCGTTCCCAGGGCCAATGGCGAGGATGACTACGTGGGCGAAGCGGACGCCTTTGTCAGTTGCCACGCGGAATATCATCTGGTCGTCTTCCGAGCCATCATCCGATAGAACGCTATCGTGCTCAACATCCGCGAACTTTGCCATCTCTCCGTATGCTATATCGGTCACGCTTTCTTGACGGATCATATCGCTGCCAAGGCGATACCGCCGCACCACCTCGTTGCAGTGGGCATGGAACAGATCCGTCTTTGGCGTAAAATAGTCTTTTCGATCTCTCTCGTCCACGTCGGGTGTCCCACCGAGAAACCTGCCTTGCTTTAGCTTCTTCTTTTTCTTGTGCTTGCTGACTTCTTTGCCCGCAATATTAGGCAAAGCCATAATGTCCTTGTCCCTTTCTTGTTCGTACGTGTATGCGAGCAGCCCGTCTCGGTCAGCGGGATCGACGTGGAAGAACATTGGGCTGCGAAGGTAGTCGATGTGGAATGTTTTGAACAGTCGCTTCCACTTGGACATCCAGTCTGCTCCATCAGCATCGAGAACCAGCATGTCCGTTGCTTCTTCTGACGATTCCTGATGCTCGCATCCACAGTCCGAATTAGATGGCGTTGAAGGCGGCGTTGGCAATGAGTCCTTGTTCCTCCGGTAATTCTTGATATTCATCTTTCGGCCATGCTTCTTTATCCAATGGTATCTCTGGTGTTCATCATCGGTAAAAGTCGCTGATGGTGTGTGTTCGCGGAGACGTGCTGCAGCCGCCAGACCAGCTGGGCCAGCACCGACAATCAGAACGTCGTGGATGTGCATGGTGTTGTGACCTATAAGCTCCCAGAAATCTAATGATAAGAAATATTGTTAATGGAGAGGCCCTATAGATTATTAAAGAGCTCTCCGAGCTGATTGTATCGCGTGAGTACCTGTGTACCGTGATGGCTAGGGTTCCCCATCAGGTACGTCCATCACGGTGCTCCAGGAACAAGCACGACGCAATGACGACGACACGAGACCACTACATAACAGGTCAAGAAGATCTCTACCCCTCCAGACAAGTCTAGAGTTCTTGGCTTGTTCGTGGCCCTGCTGGAATGGAAGTCAACGCAAAACTTGGCAGGGAAAGAATGTGAATAAAATTAATTTTGGTTAATAAAGGTCATGGCATCATTCAAACAGGGTGAAATATTTCCGGGCTCTTATTTCTGTCCTCAATGCTGCGAGAGGTCCGCCAGCTCCCAGGGCCGCTCACACTGGACGCCCGATGCGACTGCGCGTCTTCCATCTCAATGGCACTTGTGATGAACTCCGGGTCGCGTTCCTCTTTCTGCTTCCCCAAGCCTCCATTTATGTCCTCTTGGCTCTCGGTCTTGCGGAACACATCCCTGAACCCTCTCGGTATCTCTTGTGGTGTTGGTTCAGACCAAGACGCGTCGGGACGGCGTATCGAGGACGGCTGTGGTTGGGTGGTGGAACGGCCGTAAGCATTTGAGGAATCGTACGTGTTGGAGCTCCAGTTGCGAAGACCGAAGACGCGTTGGATGAGTGGGTAGGTCAGTGGAAGGTTTGCACAAAGAATGGCGGTGTACGACTCTCGCAAATACCAGATTGTCCACTCATTTCCAAAAGGATGTGTGAAGGAGTAGTATTTGTTGAGGGCAGCAGCGACAATGGTAAAAGTTCCAATGCAAAAGATGAGGCCCAGGATGATTTTGTTCTTCTTTGGCAAGCGCACTTTGAACAGAAGCGGCATGGGTATGCTGATGATGATCAAATCGCTGGATATGTTGAATACGGCATTCGTGATGAGGTGGTTCGTTGCGGCTGAGCATTGTTCTGCAATAATAAGCGCCATACAACCGAGTGTCTGCAATACGCTTACTTGAGCTTGGAGGAACGGCCCAGTACTGGTTGAACGGCCTGCACCACACACCAAGGTACAACACCTCCATGATAACAAACGACACAGCAACATAGATGGAAGTGGCAACGACAATCTTGTGTTGCGGTAAAACCAGAGTCATGCGGTTGTACATGATGAGAAGACAGGCCTTGATGAGCCAGATTGTGAGGATCTGCATCTGTTCTACTACCAAGACCAGCTTGGAGCCATAAATACGAGTGTTGATCTCGGCTTGAGTATATTGCGAGATGTCGTCACCAGGTGGTATCAGGTTGCTGCTGGTTTTGGCGACCTGTTGCATGATGCTGATGAGCACCGTATCCGTAGCCTGGTTGCAGTTTAGCATCTCTAGTGGCCCAGCTCAGAATCGCGGGTGACAAACCATGGCAACAAGAATCAGGTAGTCGTCGAGTTGCAAAGACTTCCATGATCCAAGATGTAACCTTCGCGAAATCAGGCGGACAATGACAACGAGCCAGCATATGCCATAGAATATTCCAGCCTCTGGCTGGAGAATGGATGGCGACATGGGGTGCGAGATGGCGTCGCCAAAGCGCCGAGGTTGTCGCGGGCGCTGCAATCTGAGCCGGGGAAGTGCGTAGGGCTAGCCGCGCGGCGCAAATCGCTCTGGGCGCTCGTCTTGGGTCGCTGGGAACGAGTGGGTATGTAGGGTATGTATACTGTAGAGGTTGAAGTGAAATCAGGAATTGGGTGGCGAAAGACGCCACGAGGTGTTGGGAACGTCAGCCGTAGATGGTGCACCAAGGGCTAGGTCAGCAAGCTGTGCGCTATCTCTTGACCTGTATATGGGCTCAGCATGCAATCAGCGCTACTCGTGGACATGGGATGCTCTGCGATGTTCAGCAAATGGATTTGAGGGTGCTCTCGGAAGTTGCCTGGGGAAGTGTCGCTCTGGGGTAGGGTATCGGAGTGGGCTTGTCGCTTTCGAAGTCTGGAGGAGTGGGTGCGGTGTCCTGAGTCGAAGAGGTGGATGGATGGATGCAGTTGGCAAGGGATCGCTTAGAGATGGACGTCCCCGGACCCAAAAAGCCATGTGCTAAAGCACCGAACGAGTTGCAAGGGCCAAATTCGGTAGAGATGTGTGCTTGGGATGATCTGCACGAGGGGTCCGAGTCCGAGGCGGATGTTCACCGTTGGCACCAATGGGACCGACAGTGGCGCTTGCCTGACAGCCTCGACCCAAAACCGAGGTCTCGAGCACGGGTGCTGGCGGAGGGAGCGGTTAGCCCTAAATACAAAGTAACGAGATAGTCGACGAGGAGCAAAGTGCAATGCAAAATCGAGGGCGCAATGCTGTGGTGATGATGGTGGTGCTTCTTCGGTGGTTCATGCGGCGCTGCCTCGGTGGTTCCTCGAAAAGGCAATGCAGGGCCCTGGTGGGTGCAAAAACAGTCGAAGAAGCGGACTTGTAGTAGGTATGTATGGGGATGAAGCCATGCCACCCCCGTGTTTATCTGGTGGCGTGTATGCTTGACTCGGCGGCCGACGTTGGGGGAAGCTTTGGCGACGGCGTCTAGCTGTGACGAGGAGGTTCACGGTTCAGACGGCACTGCCATCTGTCGCCAGAAGACGGCCCGCGGCCGTAAGCGGCACTAGCGCGGCGCCACCCAGCTGAACAGCTTTTGTGTATGGGCTAGTGAAATCGCATGAACAGAGCGCCAGTCCACTGCTACCCCAATCACCCTCTCCAACACACGACCGACTCCGTGCTCAACATCGCCCACGACTCGTGTCGCCATCAGATAGCAATAACGCAGTTCCACTTATATTGCGCCCTCCCGCTTCATTCTCTCACATGCTGCTCGCTAAACAAGTCTACCACATGGTACTCCGCGGACACCCCACTGCCAGTGACATTTCCTTCTCATCCTCTCCGCATCCTCGGCTCCCGCACACAATCGAAGAAAAAGACACTGGCCGATTGCACATGATTGCACTGGCCTTGACTGCACTATACCATTCACATGTCTGACGTCAGCACACTCCCCATGCTTTCGACATTGAGTGTGTGCAGCGAGAACCCTTAGGCCTCCAATGCACCAAGCTAACACCACCTCCAATCCATTATCGGTAAAGCTACCTTTTTCCTGTACTTGTCCCGACGCTCGCCACAAGTCGGGTTTGGCCTGCGCCTGAGAGGCGACTGCCGTGATACCGGATCAATTGCCATTTGAAGGACCAAGCATCGCCCTTTGTCAGTACCTGACGCCTTGCAGTAGCGCAGCTGCGAGGGCAGATCGGTCCCAACCACAGGCCTTCCATTCTTCCAGAAGGTGTACAAACTTCGGTGCCTGAAACCAAATTGGAGCCATCTTCCTGCCCACGGAGAAATCGCCCACCTATCAACATCTTCGTGCTTGATGCATCTGCTAGTGCACTTGACTAACAAAAACATGGTTTGGAAATTACAAAAATTCTCTTGCTATCTGTCAAGCACAACATTGCTACGCATGGACCCAGCCCTACCCTCCGTACCCTAAACCTTTCCAGAAGGTCTCAATCTCTTGTGACACGTCTCTCTGAGCCCTATTCTCTTCCCAGACGTCTCCGCTCTGGTCCAGCATGCTCTTCCAATCTCGTATTGCTTGATCCTTCCTGCTGTGCCCCGCAAAATGCACCAAATAGTCGCCTCTCCTGGCCTGGAACTGCTTCAACCCCTCCTCATCCTCTCGATCCTCAAACATTTGTGCTGCACCCCCTTCGTATGCATTAAACCAATGCTGGGGTACATATCTTGTTTGATCCCTAAACTGTTCTGTACGAAGAACCTGCTCCATGGCGGATTGCTCGCTAAATGGGAGGTCGACTTCGGGCCTGTAGTGCCGGAAAGCCAGGATAGCGGTGAAGAGCTCAATTGCCCAACCGCTCACGCGAAAGAGGAATACCCCATTGTTAAGACCATTCCAGTCTTCGGTTACGAGTAAGTGTGTCGTATTTGCATGGGGTTGTTGCTCCTCTCTTTGTTCGTCATCACGACGCCACCACGAACCGTAGCGTCCCTTCTCGCGTGGAAGGAAGCTCGAGATGGGCCGGCATTGGTCGAGAATGAGAGTATCGCGGTCCACCCATTGGATCCATTCAAGACGTTCCTTCTCTGGCTTCATCATTTCGCGAAAGAGAAGGTCCAAGATGTAGGCTGGCTTGTTCCACAGGTCGTCGACAATAGGGTCGCACATGACCCTGACTTCTGTTCCGTGGACCAAAGAGTGGAACAAATGTGTTTGAAACGCCATTTGGTAGTGCTCCTTGGCCTCACCAAAATGCGCAGTAACAATTCCGATACGTGATCTGGCACTGGCAAACGGTGAATATTTCCGACACTTTGCCCGTTTGACTGTTGCTGCTTGCATGAACTCAGGCGACACCTCTGGTAGACATTTCGAGTCGCCATGAGCGAAAAACTGTGGGACTGGTCGCGACGGTGGTCGTAGGTTTGGGACCGAGAAATCTTTCGCTGACCCACGATACCAAAGGATGAACGGAGACCCGACGATCAAAAGACATAACCAAACAAAGAATTTACTAGTGAGAATTGCAGGAGATATGTACATTGCTGTGGTGTGAGAAAAAAAAATGAAAGACAAGAAACAAGCACTGGATAGTGGTTGCTGCGTTTGCACCTGGTATGGACCTGATATCACGTTCATGTGACGGCAGCCAGATTATAAAGAGACGATATACAAGCCACCAAACATCTCCCGCCACATTCCACAGATGATAAGCAACCAATGGTGACGAATATTGCAACGTGGATGTCTTGGACCCATTTCAGCCTCCGCTTCCAGCTGAGCATTCGCGTCTCCTTTTTATCGCAAAAGACAACGGCTCGGCCATACTTGCGTGGGCACACACAACCCAAGGGCTTGAGTGTGCTCGTGTGCAATGTACAGGC